TACATTGCAATTTTTAACTTGTATCTCAAAACTGACGCATTGGTCTGAAGATGATATAAATATTTCGAAATCGATAACCTTAAGGAAAAATAAACAATTATTTGACTACTTTGTGTTCATTAATTTAATAATAATATATGTTTATTTCTCAATATAATAACATGTAGTACAATAAAAAAAGAAAATTAAACTTGTAAATAAATCATATTGAAAAATATTAGGGGTCCCATAGACAACGTCCGTGGTGAGACCTCCCTCATGTATTGCATAATATATGCCCGCGAAAAGAGAATTAGAGCCAGTCATTCATAATAAGAAAAACAAACAATACAATAATAAAGAATAACGCTGAAAAAGATTACGGATTACATTTACTAGCAGTCTTTAAAATTTGAGTAGAGCTGAGAATAAAATAACTTGTAAACTATGATCATAAAATAACATAAAAATAATTTCAGAGAATCCAAAAAGAAAAGCATATATAAAGCATAAAAAAATCATGAGAAATATTTACGAAACCACATAAAAACTAAGCCGCAAAACTAAAAAAATCATCCTCAATGTCATTTAATAATTTAACTAGTTTGCATTGAAAAAAAGCGTTACTCTTGTGTTAGTTATGTCAAAGCAATTTATAGTGTCAAAAACCATTTCCTGAAGTAGGTACTATTAATGAACATTTTCTTTAATATGACAACACAAAAAACATGATAAACTACTAAAATGATAAAATGAATTAACACAACTATTTTCCTTAATTGGAGTTTTACGTAATATAAAAAGTATAAATTGTGCACTAAGCGCATTTTTTAAGTCGAAATTTATTTATTTATTTATTTATTATCCCTCCCTTGTTCTGGGCCCTCAACAGGCTTGCGCCCAATTACAGAGTGACCCGCATAATCGGCATAATGTTTTTTTAGAGGTGCCTCTGCAGAAGGTCTTAATAGCTTATAGCGCGTTCGCACCTCCAGATTCAGTATGTGGTGTTATGTACTCAATGCCTCTCTTACTAATTTGCGTCATTCTTCGACAACGCTATCCTTGTTCCGCACTGCAATGATGTCAAACTGACATTTAATTGAATTGAAGTATTAAAAAACACCATAATTTCCTTGTACTATCGCATTTGGCTAGCACATGTACTGTATGTCCATAAGCACCATACTGCATGTGGAGGTGCGAACGTACTATACTAATTGGTTAGGTTATAAGGTAGTAGACCTCCCCCCCCCCCCCACCCCAAGTCACCCGCTGATCTCGAAAAGGAGTGGAGTCCCATATGAAAGTTATAGTTTGTACAAACCAGCTAATTTCGATAATGAGACCTTTCATTAGAATACCATGAAGAGGAGAACGTGTGTTTATTCCCCCTCCCCCCCCCAATTTTCAAAAGTTTTACTTTGCACTACTAAGGGCGTCTGTATGCAAAATCTGAGAACAATTAGTTGTCGCGTGTAAAAGTTATGCCCGTTTTACTTTCAAAAACAGCATTTCAGGAAAAAAGGGGGGGGGGACTTCGAAATTTGATGGTCGTCTAGCATATCTTCAGGGACTTATTGCACAAAATTCCAGGATTCTAGGACAATTCCCCTAAAAGTAGTTCAAAATGGCAGAAGTGGTTCCGAACGGACGGACGGATGGACGGACAAAATGCAGCAATACCATTTTATAAAAAATTAAAACATGCGTTAAAAAGTGCACTCTTTAATAATATGTAATGAAAAGCAATAGTTTCCATAAAAAAATATGGTACTCCTTGACCATGCAGAAGTACGCCGCTGTTTACAAATTTAAAGTACGTAAATTGGAAGCAAATTCCACGCGTAATTTTTATTTAACCATTTCGTATATACAGAGTGCTGAAAAAATGGCTTGAAATAATTATTTGTCCTTTTGATAATGTGTTCTAATTTCTAACAATTGAAACTTTACCATACTCTTTGTTCTATGGAAAATTTTAACAAAAACATGATCCACTGTCATTTTAAACTTATTTTTCTATCAAAATAATCATAATGAAATCTTCAAAATTATTCAAATAGAAAAATGGAACTCCCTCCAAATTTTTAGAAATAAATTGTTTCATTTCACTTTTATGTTCTGGCGGCAAGAACGAGATAGAGCGAGTCATGGCAAAAAAGGTCGCGATAATCACTAGCTGACTTTAGTACCTTTCTTCATAGACACGAACAGTAGTCCATGAAATCTAACACAATTCTCTTCGAGTAAGCTGCCATGTATCTTTTACAATGATCCAATTTGGATTTGAGTCGCTACGACTACTTTTTTTGCCAAGCTGATCAGGAATGTACAGTATCACGGCCATCCTTGTAGATGGGTTCATACATTGTAAAAAATACATGCAATACAAACGGCTTAAAATTTGTCCACGGGTTAATATTTTAATAAAACGCAGATCCAATCTTCCTTGATCATTTTCAACGTCCACTTGCATATTGGAACTTCCCGTCAGGGAATAACACTGCATTAAAATCTCAGGTGAATCAATTGTTTTCTGGCCGTAGTTTTTTCGAACGATGAAGTTAGAATGTAAGCAAGCAATTGACATTAAAGTTTGTTACTAACGCGTTTTATAAATTGTTCTAGACCTTTTCCATGGCCAAAAGGAGAAATGTCCACAAAACCCAAACCTTAAACATTAATGTACATGAATGTTTTTCGGATACAGTTTTACTAATGCCAACAGTCCCCTCTTGGATTCAATTGCAGGGAAATAACTTCAGTGAATTTTTAACAATATCTCTTCGTGGAAAAGAAAATATACTGGCGCACTTAATTAGTTTGTCCTTGTTCCAGATACTGTTGCAGATCAAATATCATTACGTAATATTAATAATCAATTACAATGACTTTCAGATGACCTAATTTTTCCATGTAGAAAACGAGTTTCAAAAAGTTATAATAGAGGGTCCACAAAACATCTTTCGTAATGATCTCTAAGATGAAGAAATGCTAATCCTGCTACCTCCTTGAAAACGAGGTTATAACTATAACCCATTACCTACAACCGTGCGCAATGAAAAAAAGAAGAAAAAGAATAGAATAGAAAATAGGTTTCATTTTCAATGCTCCACTTCGGGCACACATCAGATATGTATTAAATTTGTTAAAATCAGAATTGTTTATTTGGAATTTTTTTTGTTTTGGTCCTCTCTATTAATCTTTTTAAACCCTACACAACAAATAAGATATTGGAACCCTATAACAGAAATTGAGAGATACAATTTCATTGCGAACATGGTCTATAGATATAAAAAAAGAGTAAGCGCGATTCAAAGTTAATTTGAAATTTTCTCTTAAATTTGATTATGTAATTAATAAATTTGTAAGCTGCTATATCCAAAAAATTGTATGCTGTAAAATATGTAATGAAAACTAGTGGTTGCTATTTTTAAAAAAATATACCCCCTTTGAGAATGCAGAGGTATGTTACTGACTACGAATTTCAAGTACATAGATGGGTAGCAAACTTTTTATAATTTTGTAATTTAGAAAAAAATTATATTAAGATATATTCAGTGTTCCAGGCACCCTGTATTTTACAGCATTTCTTTTACCAAACTTTTCCCCCTCGTCCTTCTATTTTAATATACACAGCGGTTCAACAATATGGATTATCCGGAAATATCGTTATCAATATCGGAATATGCTTCTAATAAATGTTTTTTCTGTACAAAAGGCACCTCTCACGTTCTGAATTTATAAAAACGGTGTACATTCTTGAACCATTTCAAATGAACGTAATTAAAAAAAACTTACCCGCGAGAAATGGAATACTAAATAACTCGTATATGAAAATTATCTGGGTGTTAATGATTCAGTGAGCGAAACATAAAGGGAGAGAAGCCTCGAAGGACCAATATATACGGGTACAAATTTTCCACACACGATCTACAGGGATGTACTTTATTCTTTTATATTTATACTTTTGAGACCTCCTGCTTGCAACCCTGAAGTAAGTTCTTAAAATTTTTTTGAAAGATTGACAACATTTTTTACTATAACCTTTTGTTTACGCTAATTATACGCCTGCGAAATGGACCACAACACTACTTGAAAGCGTCTAAAAGCGAAATGCCTTAATGAAAATTCAAAGGTGGTAATTGTCCGAGAGCGAAGTTAGAGTTTCAAACAAAACCTGGGAGGTCCAGGGTGCAAAAGATCTTGGAAACAAAGTGTCAGAGTGAGAATTATTCCACAGCAAACTTGTGAGTGTTGTTGCTCAGGGGCGACAGGAACGAATTGTCCTGAGTTAATATTTAGTGTGCCAATTATCCGGGCGCGAATGGTGCGCATGCAGATATTGTTTTACTTCAAATAAAACGAACAAGCAATCTTAGAGGTTGCGCGACGTCGTTAAGCCCCCCTAGCTACGATCATGAAGTTAATAAAAATGGCTAGAGGGCACCTTAATTAAGCGTTTTCAACCAAAAATTTGCGGGAGGAGCCCGAACTCTATTTAGCCTATTAAAATTCGATATGGTGAACTGTGGCAAAGACTTAAATTTATAGTTAAAATATGTGTTTTCTTCAATCAAAAGAATCCATTCAAACGCCCATAAGCCCGCGTTTTCTTATTGGGGGCATCAGAAAAGTAGAATTTTCCATCAGTACTAGTTAATGTAATTACCAAAATAGAATTGTCAGCTTTATAAATGTTTTGCCTTTGGGGCGCTCTTCCAACTTTTTAGCCAGTTACTAATTACTTTACCATTTTCCTGATAACGAAGTAATTTAGTTGTATAGTAGTGATGATTCCGATGGCAATTTGGACATCGGCCGTAAGTCACAATTTTAGATCATATTTTGAGCATTGTGGTTATCCAGCCGTTCGAATTTTTTCCAAAAGCTCATATCGGATAGATACACTCCAACCTCTGTGTATAGTATTGCTCTTCTACCAAAACCGAAGGTGTAGCCGATGGCTACATAAAAATAAAGAAATGGATTTGCAAAGAGAATAAGAAAAAAAGATATACGAATTGTATCTGTTTAATTGAATACACCGGTGTCAGTTTCTCTATAACATATTTCTACAACACTTCACCAACTGGACGGATAAGTAAATCTTGTATCTAAAAAAGTCGTTTACTGCAAACCGTCCACTTCGTTTCGCCTTATTACCTGAACATGCGGTGGAGCCGCCAACATATAAAGCATAGCATCCGCCATGTCTTCGGGCTGTAAGGCCGGCATATTCTTTTCGAAATCATCCAAATATTTCTGAATTTCCGGCTTTTGGTTATCTTTCCTTACTATGTCCATGAGCTCAGTGTGAACGTAACCTGGAGTAATGCACTGGAAAAAAAGGTAATACTCGAGGTTTGTAAAGTAGATACCGAAATCTTAGTTCTGTTTTTGGCTGCATTCAATTCGACCCTCAAGCTTTCCGCTAATGTTGTAACCGCTGCTTTAGTCGCGCCGCTGAATCCATTGGGATTCATCGTTAGTTTATTGCCGCACATGCTGCTAACGTGTATTATATGACCATCTATTTTATTACGATACATATTCTGTAGGGCTTCCCTTGTAGCAACCGCTAATCCCACAACATTTGTGTCCATTAGTAGCTTCCAATGGTCAGTCTTTCCATATGAAAGTGGAGAAACGCTAGCGAGTCCTGCGTTATTAATAAGGACGTGAATTGGTCCTAAGTTTTCGATGACATATTTAAATGCCCGCAAAATGTCCTCCTCTTTGGTAATATCGGCCTGAATCGCGTGTAACACCCCCTTACAACCTTTGAGCGTTGCCGCCAATCCTTCAACTCTTTCCTTGCGACGAGCCAATCCAGCAACCTGTAAGGAGTCTTATTTGATGGTGCTAACTTTTAATGCCCACTCACTATCATTCCTTCTCTGACTAATTTTTCCGCTACTGCCTTTCCAATGCCAGAACTGGCCCCTGTTACTATTGCGACTTTTCCACTCCACCGTTCCATTTCGGGGGTAGGTACTATTCACTATTATCTGCAATCCTGCTGTACTACACTGTCAATGACGTACGCTGTGTATACGTACGTCAACGACTCAACTTACTAAAATGTTAACCTCGTTTAACCTTAGGATAAGATTGAACCGGGTCCGCGCCTATCAAGTGCTTGTTGCTCAGTTAAATAATTTAGTCAATACATTTGATAAAAGACGTGGTTTGCTGAAGCATATGAGGTCAACGTTTAGCAAAGGGGAACTTCCTCCCAAACGAAGAAATATTGATATGCAATACATGAAAATTAAATTGAAGGGGGCGTATTTCAATGTTTCCACTTTTTATTTAAACAAAAATGACTACTCTGCGGCAACAATACTTTCGGAGGACGGTGTATAAACATACACAGTCCTCCGAAAGTATTGTTGCTGAATCCAATAGCACTTTTTCTAACTTCATGGACGCGAACTTGGTCACGTAAACCGCAATACCAGGTTTCCCTTGTCATCTACTGGATATGTTTACTCATATGGTGATGTGAATTTTTACAAGATGTTAAAGTTTCGTTGAAGACTCGCAACTGTTAAGAGCCCAACAGTCCAGGAGTCCAATTATTTCAAACAATTTTATGTCTCAAGTTTCAAAACGTTTAAAAGTTTTCAAAGATCTCGTGCCGCTAAGTTGAGAACGCAAGATTCAAAAATCTCAGGCGCCCCAGGGTTCAAAAGTACCAATAAATTTACAAGTACAGTATTTGAAATACTGAAAATTTTTTAAAAGCTTAAGGAATTAAACGCCCAATCGAGAAAAAATGTGCCAACGGGCTCTAATCATTTACGGCGATCCATAGGTTCCACTACACTACCTTTACTTGCTAAGGGATATGTATTTTTTGAATTGAAGCAACTTTACATATTCAAAAATTACAACACTTTTCTTGCCCGTTTCGGTCAATTCTATTGAAAATGCTTTAAAATGTCGTTTGTAAGAGGTGGTCGGTTAGCGGTTTTGAAAGGTTTATTTTCAGATTTGGATTTTGTTCAACACAGGAAAATTTACACCTATACCGCTTCATAGCGAACCTGAACAAAAGTATGTCTGCTAATAAAAGCGATAACGTGTGCATCTTAGTTAAACGTTTACATTTTTCGAGATTTTTAAGTCAGTTCGAGTTAGACCGTCATTGAGCACGTAAGCAGTAAAATTATTCTTCGTTTTAGCTTCAACGATAGCGTAAAAATATTAGTGTGTGAAAATTAAGAGCAGATTAGGCTCTCGTACCATTTTAAGTGCGCTGAAATTTTCACATTATTTTGAAAGAAAAATTTCAAACAAGAACGGTTCAGCTATTTTTTCAATCGCGTCGTTAAGGAGCGTTAATTGAAACCAGATTTAGCTTAATTCGTAACAAGGCCGTTTATTTACGAGTGGAAAAATTTACGCAAAGGCACATTTTCGAACCGCAGAAGCCCTCTGCAAAGAGAAAAACTCATTGTGATAAACAAAAAAGTATTTCTTTCGGATCGCCAGATGTAATGGTTGGTTAAAAGTAAGTTCCTCAAAGTTGAGTAACGCATTTGGATAATGAACTGTGCGATAAATACAAATTTTGTATACAACGGCACACGGCAGGGGATTTAAGGACAATTGATTCGGTGCATTTGTCCAGCAACAAAACTTTTGCGAAATTGAAGCCGGTTTGCTTGGATTCACGATTCATACGGTCTTTTCTTCCGCCAAACTTTGCATTCATCACGAGATAAACGTTACCAGGGTGGCGAGAAACGATTGATATTTCTAAAGGAAGCATCATTTTCCAAGAAGAGTCTTGATCAATTCGTTACACGAAGAGAATATTACCCACGTCAATAACTGTAAGTTATTTTAATTTTTTTATTTGTATGAAATAGTGGTCAGTTGTTGGTAGTAGTTTGCATAAGGAATTTTGTGCGAAGTAATTTTAATATTCCTAAAGGAATCGACCCATGAAAATTACTTACATGAAACAGATTTTGTATTGTACTTTGATAAGAATCAAATCCAAACAAAGGATTTTGGTTATTGTGTTTTATTGATTGGAAAATTTGCATTTAATTTCGGTAAATAAATTTTGTTTGTCATTCAGAGGTGTGTATTCGTTATGTAGTAAAGATGAATTTTAGATAAGGATTATATTTAGCGTGGACACTCGATCACGATATATGGTGGGTTTATACAGTCATTATCATACAGAGGCCGACAGTAAAAAAAACTGTCAGGGTCTTAATTATTAATATTTGTTAAACTTTTTTACACAAATGTAATCTAAATTAGTGGAAATTAATGAGGATATATGAAAATGTTCATTTTTTGAAAACCGTAAGATGGCGTCCTTTGTTTCGAACACATTGGTGAAGGATCCCATGACTGCGCAGCATATCGAATGGAATGTTGTTGATCTACTCTTGGATTCGCTCTTTCAGTTCGTCCCTAGATCTTCTAGGTGGGTTTGATTCAACAATCTTGAGCTTTAAATAACCCCACAGAAAAAAGTATCTCACATTTTTTTTTTCGAAAATGTACTTTTAAAATTGGTCCTACATGCTTTGACAGCCTTTTCAAGAATCTCATATTTATCTATCGAACCCAGCATAAGGAGTTTTAGGCGGAATCAGAAAATTTTCGGTGATTTTGGGTGATGAGCTTCAGTTGTAGATCACCAATCTAACTCAACTGAGTATCAAAATACCAACTCACATAAGGCCTTCTTCATTCACCCATAGGACGCAATTAAAAATAAGTTGCTGTGGCTAGCACAGATACCACCCCCACACCAGCGCGTGCACGATTCTGTCCTTTCATGTATAAGAATATGTGTATCAAATTTGGTTCCGATCGGTTCAGCCCGAAATTGGAGTACAAACAGACAGACTGATAGAGCGATCGACATTTTCTTTAATTCGGATTTCTGGTGCTTCAAAACGTGCATTTCCATTAAAAATGCGGGGGGTAAATTCTTACCATCTTCCTTACTGACGTATGGGTGGTAAAAAGGGCAGAAAAAATAAAACCACTTCATGATAGTACCTAAGTACCTACGTATATTTAGTTACTCCAATGCTGAAGAAGAAACATTACAAATGTATATTCAGATAGAGAACATGGTTATAATCTGTTTCTTTTTATAAGTAACTATAACACTTCGCCGACTGGACGGATGATTATATCATAAACCTGAAAGCAAGGAGGTGAGAGCATGCCTTGATTTCATAATAATGAATATTACATTTACGTTTGGTGGCGCTGCTAGCATATAGAGTATAGAATCAGCCATATCTTCAGGCAATAGAGGTGGATTGATCATTTTGAAGCTGTCCAAATACTTCTGGATTGCTGGGTTTTGGTTGGTCTCCCTCACGATGTCCATAATCTCAGTGTCGATGTAACCCGGGCTGATGCACTACAAAACTGTTATTAGCACCATGAACTGCTATTTTAAAGTAAAATACCGAAATCTTGATTTTGCTGTTTCGTCGGTTCAATTCGATCCTCAAACTCTCGGCTAAAGACGTGACCGCTGCTTTAGATGCACCGCTGAATGCGTTAGGGTTTTGTGCTAGGTTGTGGCCAGTAATACTGCTTACGTGAATTATATGCCCGTCTACTTTATTAAGGTACATATTTTGTAGGGCTTCCCTTGTTGCAATTCCCAACCCCATAACATTGGTATCCATAATTAAGTTCCAGTCTTCAGTCTTTCCAATGGAAAGTGGAGAAATCCGGGAAATCCCCGCATTATTAATTAGGATGTGTATCGGTCCTAGATTTTCTATGATATACTGAAATGCCTTTATGATGTCCTCCTCTTTAGTGATATCCGCCTGAATTGGATGAAAGGCCCCTTTACAACCCTTGAGCGTTGCCGCCAATTCGTTCATTTTTTCCTTACGACGTGCCAATCCAGCAACCTGAAATCGGTGTTATTGGAAGATGTAGCGCGTTAATTTACTACTACTCACTATCACTCCTTCCTTTGCCAACCTTTCTGCCACTGCCCTCCCAACACCAGCACTAGCCCCAGTAACAATTGCCACCTTTCCACTCCAGCGCTCCATCTTGGGATAGTATCCAAATTAAAATGTGATTGAACAGAATACGTTTCGGCACCTAAAAAGCAGATGAGATTACGTTTAACCTCAGTTAACCTTTAGATAACATTAAAATGTTAAACCAAAGTCCCCTTTCCCTTTTGTTGCTCAGCCGCATGAAGCAATCTAGATAAATAAAATTTGGAAGATGTCAACTGCAGCGACCCCAAGCTCATGCAACATTTGTTTCAAATAATAGTTGTGCAACGTAAACTATTACAATTAGTACTCGGTACTTTTAAAAAATGTGCCAAACCCTTGACAAAGCAGCTTCCTAGCACAAACCAAATATAGTTCTGTTGTGTTACGATTTCACGGCGCTAAAAACCTATCAATTAAAAAATGTTTTGGCAGTTTTACATTTTTAGGCCTAACACAAACCAACATTTTAACGAAATCCAAAGAAAAGAAAAAAGAACCGTACAGAAAATACTCTTTAAACTTGACTAGCTCTTCAATTGCAATTTTTCCCGGTACAGATCTTCACTCCGATACAGACGAATGACTTAATTCTGACCTCAATTTTACTTACTCGAAGACGGACTGTTCTTAAATCGTTAAAATGAACCTTCTGCGACAATCATAAAGTTAAATCGTAATTTAAATATGAAACTTTTCTGTTCGTCATTAATAAAGGGTTCGACGCAACATGCGTGAAATTACACTGACATATTTTATTTTACACACACAAGAAAAACAACCATCCCTGTCTTGTGTCCAGAACAGAATTGCAATTATCTACCAAATTAAACTTAAAATAACTAACAGTTTTCTTTTTCGAGACACAATATCCAAAAAAGGTTCGTACACCAAATCATAAATTAAATTAACTAAAACCACAGACACATGCTAAACCGTGACACACACAAACTTGCGGTCCCACTGATTCCTTTCTCCGATGCGAATGCGGTAAAATTTGTTCTAACACCAACCAAAACAGCCTTCAAACTTGACAAACTAATTCAAGCTTTTCTTAACTTAACTTAAAACGTATTCGGCCACTAACTGGGCCACCTGACTCCTTTTCCTCTGCTCAATAACGATTTTGAACTGGATGAGAGACTTCTACAAAATAATTACCTTTTGTTTTTTGACCTTGTCTCGTTTTGCAATACGCTAAACATTTAAATAGTCAGTCTATCCTACTGTAACCAAGGTTTAACGTTATACTGTATATTAAATGCCCTTTTAAGGCGATCGTCAACGGTATCTATACAGATAAGATAAGACTCAAAATTTGGCCTAATATTTAAATAGTGAGTATACTGTCCATTAAACCTGTTACAAAGGTCTAACATTTTCAGCTTGAACTGACCAAAATTTATTGAACGATAATTGAGGAAGACGATTTTTGGTTTCGACAGTCCCTTTTAGTTGCACTTTTAAGGCGATCGAAAGTACGACATGTAACGTTATCTGTCAAGAAAATACCCACCCATGGGTGTTGGACGCTTTTGTTAAAATTTCCTGTTCCTCGTTATCTTTCAAGGGCCGCACTGGGCAGAGGAAATTCCTACGGGATTTTTCTGTCTAGGCCACCCACCCCATATGGTCTTTTTACCTTTAAATATTTAGCAATCAGCAAATCAAGTGGAGGGATTAGTCGATCAGAAGACAGCATCATTTCTAGTTATATCAGAGAGGGTTAGCGCTATTTTGATGTATCGTATAAGAATGCATGTATAGGAGACCAATTTTTCCAAATAAATCAAGGGCAATAATGTGCCAACAGTATCGAAATTAGTGTTCCTTCTTAGTAAGTAAAAGGTATTTGGAGCTACTTTATTAAAAAGGCCAAAAGATCGCAATTCTCGTTGTCTTACTAACTAAGAAGATATAACGGGCGATTCAAAAATGACTGGCGGTCGAGTCGCCTCTGGAAGTTCAAGGTACCATTTCCCATGTAAAAAAAATTCCAAAAGTGACTCGAAAGCAACTCATTTTTGAGCGCATGGTATATAGCACGCACATTGCACAATGGCTTTCGAACCTGCGAAAGTTTGCGAAAGATTTAAACTTTGTCCAAAAAGAGGTACCTAAGTACCCCTCCTATCACATTCCCAATGGATACGAGCAGGTAAATGGAATTTCCAGTTGAGAAAGAGATTAGAAGATTACTCGGACGATCATTGAACAATCACTAGCCGTCTCTATGCCACCTTTCCGCTTTTAGTACAGTCAAAATGGTGTCCTAGAAAATCAATCAAAATCCAAGATTTCGAAATTTTGTATTTTTGATTTAAAAATTTATAACTAATTCAATGAAATTTGGAAAAAAAGATAATAAAACACATAAAAGTATAAAAAAACTAACCACTTACTTCCTTTTTTTTATCAAAATGGCGGCTATTTAAATATTTAACTAGTTAATTTTGAAATATTAAAGTGGCCACCATTTTGAAATAATGAAGTCTGTGGTTATTTTTTTTTACTTTCATATAAATGGAATGATGATAGGAATTGCCCATTATACTCGTACATTAGAGAAAATTTTATTACAAAAGGAACCATTATTTCAAAGTATGGGTCATTTTCCATTATTGAACAAAAATTAAAATGATTTGACTATTTTTTTGTTTCACGATAATCTTCATTTGTACCTGACTTATCTTATTATCACTGTATTTATACACTGACCAATTGAGGATACTTTCAAATTGGCAACATCTATTTAGATTTTAATCTTAACTTCATCTTTTACGTACATGGTGTCCTAATAAAGGTCACAGGCCATATCTATGGAACCGCTAATTGCACGGTAATGGGTAAAAATATTTTGTTAATAAAAGAGGTCAAAAAATCGCTGGAAATTATTTTCAAGTTTCTAGGTGTACGTTTAGGGGCGTACGATTCATATCCAAGTGAGAAAAATGATTTTTTTTCCTAAAATATGCCCTACAAATCTGCATAAAAAATACATACATCGTAATCTTGTATGAATTTTGCATCATTTTGTTGTAGTAGATACGTATTTATGGTGGGAGAAGGGGAACGTCTCTTTAAGTAAGTTGAATGTGACTTCGGTTCAGGTTTACGAATTTATTGGAAAGAGTTCTCTTCGTGTAATCAAATTTTACATTAATAGAGTCCTTTTAGTAAATGTGATGAGTGGTAGAGGGCGCGGTTTGACACTAAAATAAACTTGACAGGTTTTGTTGAAAATGTCAAATGGAACGGTATAATTATAATACAATATTATCAAATAAGATAAAAAAGTGAAAATATCAGTGAAAACCGCATTTTGATATCTGTTTCCTGAGCAGAGATATGGCGAAAATACAAGCATTCACTGAGCAAATATAAAACTATATTCAGAAGGGTTTTAAAAGCTCTTTATATGAATCTCGATATAGACTAAAGTGGTACTGTGCGAATCCTTGGTCATGTCGGGCTTAGATTATTGTGATGTTGCGTATGGTCCGTCATTAAAGAGCATGGTTGAAAAAAATTCAAATCTTACAAAATACTTGTTTAAGATTAATTTTTGGGATCAGGAAATACAGTTACATTTCGCATACGTTGGGAATATTAACTCCTCCGTCGCACAAACATGAATCTTTGAAGAGAACCTTTAGTCGCCAAATTCCACATCTGTAGAACAGGATACAATCTGATTTCAAAAGATTAAACCAAGTTACAAAAGGCTCAGATGCATTTCTTTTATAAAAATTAATTTTTAAGCACTGATTGCTCCCTCCAGTTGAACCTTGCTTGTTTTCCGTTTCTCACTAATAATATACCTACATGATTATGCGTTCATGAAACGTGTACCTATATGCATATAAATAATTATGTATCTAAGCGCCTCATATGTACAGTGATATTCATTTAAAAGTAGGCATAGGGATTTTTGTGTATTATTTTCCCTATGTCTACTTTTAAATGACCAAAGCTCTTCTGAAGGACGCCTAATTTTATGCGACGAAACTAACTTCTTAAAACAAATCTGGCCGTCATATTAATTAATTGAAATATTATTGCTTTGACTTTTTATTTTCGTTCGTGTGCGATGTATTCATCTGAAGAAAAAGTTGATATTAACAATGGGTATAGTGCCGGTAGTAGTTTAAGGAGCGTAAGCGATTTATCTTCTTTGTTGATCACTTTAAAATTAGTGGTTGTTTAAATGCGATGCACATAAGACACCGTAAACAACCCTCAGTTTTAACGGAGGATATGAAATTGTACATTTTAATTTTTTGTGCGAGAGAATCCCGTAAGAAACTTAAGGGAAATAGCGGCCGAATTTAATAACTCTTCATCATAACCTAAAATCCAGAATTACAGTGCAGAATGCGTGCGCATGTTATTTCATAAAATTAGGCGTCTTTCAGAAGAGTTTTCGCCATTTAAGTGTAGACATAGGATTCTAAATGAATAACAGCGTCATGCGTAGTTCTTGAATAATGTTTTACAAGACACCCAATTTTGGTTCAGTTGCATATGGTTCGCACTAATCGATAAATTAAAGTGCATACTTTCTTTTAATGTTCAGATTCGATAACTTTTCCTTGCCAGATTATTATACATTTTTTTAAAGCTGCGTTATATATGAGCCCTTATGGCTCGAATACTCTATACACTAATAAAATAGGTACCTACAAATTATTATTCATCTTCCGACATCTCTTCGAAATCGTCATCTTGTGGCAATCTGATTGCGACAATTAATTGCTTTTTTCATGATTCTTGAGCCATGCAGTGAAAAGAACCCATAAATCCCACGCTATTCCTTATGCAAGTCTTACTTCTGCATTTTGAAAGTTCTGATACTGATAGAGCTGGTCTTTTATTTTAGAAAAATACATTTTTTTGCAGCCACATGAAGCCAATCCTTGGAAATTATCTGGAAACATTGGAAGGGTTGCAAAAAGGAGCCTAACGTCTCCGAAGGTCGCCCCCCCCAAATTGCCAAATAATAGGACCTGAACATGAAAAATAAGTGTACACTTTACGTTATCAATGGGTGCGATAATATAGGTTTGCCCTTCCGCAAAAAATTGCCATGAAGTACACATTCGTTGTTCAAAATTTCAGGTTGTAACATTAACGCCCCCACGTGATATCAACTCAACAGCTTATGCCTAGGTTTATGCACTGTACTAGAAGGGATGACAATCATTTCTACATATTATAGAAACGTTTTAATTTTAAAATTCTGTTAAATTTCGCTCTTCTTACGCAGGATTTGATCCTCCACAATTTTTATGAGTAAGGTCTTTCATTTGGAGTGGCCGTTTTTAAGATACAGGGGGCTGAATCACCTTGAGCTTAATTCATTTTGGCGTTACGTTTGTAAAAACCCCGTAGATCAATTTAAATTACATTTTTTGTTATTATCTAAAGGTTAGTTATAGTTGGCTATGGTGCATTAAGAACCTTTGTAGAGAATTTAATAAGCCCTCATATGATCTAATAATCTACCTACAGGGCGTTCCATATAAACATTCACATTTGTGTTAACTGAAAAATGCGATGATGCTTTGTTTTTTAATTTTGATAATTGAACCATCTTTCTAACTCTACAATTAAGAAAGTTGGCAATAGTGCCGACTTAATTTGCTACCAAGTAAACAAACTTGTTTACCCAATTAGTGGAAAAATTTAAATGTTTGAAACTTAATGATAGGACCGATAAACATTGGTAAACCACTTTCGTAGATAAATACATTGCTCCCGTTTGGTGGTAGGAACGTATAAGATACGAGGTGTAGAACACGCTGTATTTAACGTTTAGTACTAAATGAACTTTACTTGATAATAGAATATTCAAGGGCATGCCAACGAATAATCAATAGATTACTTAATCCAACCACACGACACAGTTCATTGTATTATTTCAGGATGGTGCTCTCAATGGAACGTTGGAAAAATAAGGTCGCTGTTGTTACCGGAGCCAGTGCCGGCATTGGATCGTCAATTGTCGAAAAACTACTCGAATTGGGTCTTATTGTGAGTAATCTACCTATATTTAGATTAGTAAATAACCGACAAGTTATCTGACGAAGGTCGTCGGACTGGCACGTCGCAAGGAAAAAATTCAAGCACTGAGTACGAACAAAAATTTGCACGCTATTCAATGCGATATTACTAAAGAGAGCGACATACTAAAAGCGTTCGCATGGGCCGAGGAGAATTTGGGCCCCATTCACATTTTGGTAAACAACGCGGGCGTGGGGCGTGTTACCAATTTAATAGATGGCAAAACAGAATTTTGGAAGGATGTATTTGACACCAACGTGATGGGGTTGTGCATAGCAACTAGGGAGGCGGTGAAGTCGATGCGCAAAAATAAGGTGGACGGTCACGTAGTCCACATCAGCAGCATTTTTGGACATAAAGTGGTTCCTTTTGAAAATCTAAACGTGCTGTGCGCATCGAAACACGCCATAACGGCGTTAACGGAAACCTTGCGACAGGAACTAATCGCAATCGGTAGCAAAATAAAGATATCGGTAAGTCAATTAAGTACTGAGCACCGTTAACAGATTCTTTCAGTGCGTAAGTCCAGGAATTACTAAAACCGAGGCGATTGAAGCGGCTTGTTTAGCGAGTGGACCATCAGAAGCCACCACAAGGTACAAGGAGGGTACCAAAGGGGCCCCGGCCCTTAATCCTTCTGATGTGGCAGATGCTGTGGTTTACATCTTATCAACACCCCCTCACGTTCAGGTATGCTGATTTTGAAACTCGAAGTCACTTAAATTCCTTTTAGATTCACGATCTTTGGATTAAGCCAGTTGGAGAAAGCTTTTAAGTAGGCATAGGAACAGTAATGGAGAAGCCTTTAACATCGGTCAGTTGCTTAAGATTTTTACACATGTACTTTTATCATACTTAGTAAAAGTTCCTGAAATTCGTTCTTTATATTTATCAGTCAGTGTTAGATGAAAAAAAAAGCGCACGCAGGGATATTTTTTGGATCTCGAGGTGGTCGAGTCTTCGACCAAAGTATTGGGAGTATTGGGAATTTTTTAACCAAAAACTACTTTATCCCTTTTTACTCTCTGTCCCCCAGGGTCATTCCCTTAAAAGTTTTAAATGTATCGAGTAATAGCTTGTTTGGAGAGTCTTTTAAAGTCCGTTATTTTGACGTTTGATTTTTTAAAATTGGCCGATTCGTTTTCGAGAAAATTAGAATAATTTCCACCCTTTCGTCTAGTGTGTAAACCATTTTTGAAGTAAAATCTGAATCAATAAACTAATTTTCACTATCCCAAGGTTGCCAGAAAGGTAACTGACGGTAAATTAAAATCTTTATTTCCAATAGCAACAAATAAGTGATATTTTCGTTTGTTTTTGTTTTCTATCTAAACAAATCAAGATAGGTCGATTAAATAAATTAAATAAAAATTTTTCTCATTTTCTCGAAAACGAATCAACCGATTTTAAAAAATCAAAAGCCAAAATAAAGGACCTTTCAAACAAGCTATTACTCGATACCACTTGTCATTTAAATTGTGTCTCGGCGTTTTTCCTTTAAACAGTGGTTTTCAAATGAACACCCTGTATATCTCGGTAAGTAACAACTGTATACAAAATGTTTCTGTCTAAAAATTGCTTAACATTTTATTTCCCATCATAAGGCAGTATTCGGAAAATAAATGAGTAACGAAAAACAAATGAATTTTTTTAATTGCATTGTGCCCGCTCTCGCATTTGATCCGACATTTTTTTCTTTTTGATACGTATACCTACATAAAAATATGTTTAAATAAAAATAAAAACATTAATCTAGATATCCTACATGAAAATAAAAACAAATGAATGAGAAGGTTTCTTATTAAACCTTCGAAGACAAAACATTGATTTGATTTGATTTTAAATATCCCCATATAAAGAAATCATAAGTAGGTGTTAAATTCAACGATCCGGAAATACCACATTTAAATATTAACGTACATTTACATGATAAAAGGGCACCCGTTTTGTTGAAACCAAAAATCGCCAAGGGCTTGCTGGATGACGCTCATTAAAAATTTCAAATACTTACTTCTAGTTACAACGATCTTTCTCCGGAAGCTCGCGCACCAAGGGTGGCTTCGGTTTTTCTTCACAACAACAAAAACACAAATTAAAAGGTATAATTACAAAATGAAATTTAATGACAGAACAAACACATTCCTGCGTAATTTATAATACCAAATATGTAGACGTTGACGGCGGCGGCGGCAGTCGTCGGAATACGGCGGAACGGCGGCAAGAAATGGCGGAACGGAAGTGCTTCGGGCGCCACCAGAAAGTTTTCGGAAACCCTACTTCTGGTCAGAATTCGGGACGGCACGGCGGTGCTTCAATAAAGATAAATAAAGATAAATAAAGATTCTATTTCATAGTGCGTTTTTGATTTATATAAACGTCCATTTCGAGTAGAGAGAAACTGGAATTCCCATCTCGTACGCTTATATCTTCGATAAGTTATAACAAATTAAAACTGGTTTACTAGATACTCTTTTCCCCGACACCAATCTTTAATCATCCATTGTCCGATAAGTACTTAGCCCTCTTTAGAAAAATGAAAAAAGAGCAATATCAATTTACAAATTCAAACAGTTCCAAGATTGGGCTACTAGTTCAAAAGTTACAGCACTTTGAATTTTCTTTCGAAATTGGTTTCTAGTCGTATAACATTTGATTGAGAAGTCTGATCGAAAAAGTACGAATTGTTTTGGATTCTACACACCAAAATTAATAAGAAAAAGTGTTTTCTCGAGAAATTTGGGTGCAGTCGATTTTTGGTAAAAAAGGAAGGTTGTACACTGCCTTTTTTTGAGGCCCGAAGAAAAAATTGTCTCAGATCGACCCGGAAAAAAATTTTCTTATAGAATGTGGCCTGTAGAATCCATAATTTCAAACAGTTCCAAGATTGGGGTACTAGTTCAAAAGTTACAGCCCTTTGAATTTTTTTTCGAAATTGGTTTCTAGTCTATAACTTTTGATTGAGAAGTCTGATCGAAAAAGTACGAATTGTTTTGGATTCTATGCACCAAAATTAATAAGAAACAGTGTTTTCCCGAGAAATTTTGGTGTAGTCGATTTTTTGGTAAAAAAGGAAGGTAATAACTGCCTTTTTTTGAGGCCCGCAAAAAAAATTGTCTCAGATCGACCCGGAAAAAAAATTTTCTTATAGAATGTGGCTTGTAGAATCCATAATTTCAAACAGTTCCAAGATTGGGCTACTAGTTCAAAAGTTACAGCCCTTTGAATTTTCTTTCGGAATTGGTTTCTAGTCTATAACTTTTGATTGAGAAGTCTGATCGAAAAAGTACGAATTGTTTTGGATTCTACGCACCAAAATTAATAAGAAAAAGTGTTTTCCCGAGCAATTTTGGTGCAGTTGATTTTTGGTAAAAAAGGAAGGTTGTACACTGCCTTTTTTTGAGGCCCGAAAAAAAATTCTCAGATCGACCCGGAAAAAAAATTTTCTTATAGAATGTGGCCTGTAGAATCGATAATTTCAAACAGTTCCCAGATTGGGCTACTCGTTCAAAAGTTACAGCCCTTTGAATTTTCTTTCGAAATTGGTTTCTAGTCTATAACTTTTGATTGAGAAGTCTGATCGAAAATGTACGAATTGATTTGTATTCTACGCGCCAAAATTAATAAGAAACCGTGTTTTCCCGAGAAATTTTGGTGCAGTCGATCGGAAAGACCTTGCCTAGAAAGCCAATTGATTTCATTGTCCTAATGTCGTAAAAAGAGAAGATTAATGAACTTACACAATTTTGGACTTTTACGGACCTAGCGTTTAAACAAAACAATTTGTTTCTTCGGATGGTCTTAATTGACTATAACACCCTGTATAAATTTGGCAAATTAATTCTCTTTGCCTGCTTTTTGGGGTAATGTTGGGTTTATCAGCATTCACGGGCCGAAAGTTTTGATGAGTTTCTCGTATCTGGATATTCAGAACACTCCAGAAATCTACCACGTGAATCTGATACGTGTGATAAATCCTTTGGCACTTACAAACCTGAAGAATAGAAAGAATCATTATTGCCTTTCTCATACCAAACCATTCTGTTACTGTGATTAAGGCGTTTTCTGCATCCCGTGCAAAATTGAGACGGTCTTCTTACACACATTTTTCTATTTTCAGGAAATTCGGCATTAGTGAAATGGACCGTTGGAGACACAAACTGGCATTAGTAGCCGGGGCAAGTGGTGGCATTTGTACCGCTGTAGTAAAAGACCTGTTGGACCAAGGCATCTTGGTATGTTTCAAATCCATTTGGACCTTTTGCACTTACCTACCTCATTACAAGTTGTAGGAATGGCACGTCGAAAAGAAGAGATAGAACAGCTGTCCTCATCCAAAAACTTGTACGCTTTAAAATTTGACGTGACCGTAGACCATGAGGTTATAGATGCGTTAAAGTGGGTCCAAGAGAGTGTGGTGTGGGACCCATTCATATATTGGTCAATAGTGTTGGTACGTTTTGGTTTGGAAGAATATTGGACAGTTCGCCGAGTACGTCAATGGCCATATTATACATGTGAAGAGAATAAGTGGGCATGGTGCATTCCTTTCATGCGTCGTTGGGAGCATCCCGAGCGCCAAAAGTGCAGTGACATCGGCAATGTAATGCTTAAGAAGAGAGTTAATCGACATTGGAAGTAAAATAGAGATATCAGTAGGTTTGGTGACCTTTTTGAATGCTCATAATGTTCCTTTACACAGAGTGTAAGTCCAAGCTTTGTCAAAACGAAGATTTACTACCAACATGCTGACGAACAACCTGAATTCAGAGATCTCGCCAATGCATGCGATCAAGAAAAACATTCGCTTCAACATGTGGATGTAGCTGAATGCACTTTCGACTCCTTCTCACGTGCAGGTGGAAGAAACTACGTTCGAACCCCAAAAATGTGTATTTGCCATGTTAATATGCTAATTTTTTAATATACAAATAATTACATCAGAAAATAACCTTGTAATTAAATTTTTTCTCCAATCGGTCTGATGATCACATCGTGAACCTGAAAACAGACATTGTTCCCAACTTAAATTTCACTGGACAATACCTGAACGTGTGGTGGAGTCTTCAACGCATAAAGAACGCAATTGGCGACATCTTCCGGTTTTAAGTAGGGATTGTTATGCCTAAAGCTATGCAAGAGTTCTTTGGAGAATAGTCCATTGCTAGTTTTGCTGAGAACGTCCATGAATTCGGTTTCAACGTAGCCGGGACTGATGCTCTAAAAACATATTTACAAAGGTCGTTGTTTAATGAGAAGGGAGGGAGGTTTAACTGTAATTTTGGTACGACTTTTTCTCGCAATCAGCTCACATCTTAGAGATTCCGTTAGTGCAGTAACGGCAAACTTGGAAGCACAGTACATGGAATTGTTTAATTTTGTTGCGTAGTGTCCATATATGCTGTTAATATGTACGATATGACCATCTGTTTGATTCGCGGCCATGTTTTTGAGAGCCTCTCTGGTGGCAATCGACAATCCAATAACGTTGATATCAAATATGTCTTTCCAATTATCCGTTTCCCCACACGAAAGCGGCGTTATTCTACTACAGCCTGCACTGTTGACAAGCACGTGAATGGCCCCCAAATGTTCTGCTACATAGTCGAATGCTTGAATAATATCTGCTTCTTTACTCATATCAACCGGAACGGGGTGAAATACCCCCTTTAAGCCACCTAAACTATCACGTAACTCTTCGAGCTTCTCCTTTCGCCTTGACAATCCTGCAACCTGGTCAAGAACCATTAGTACTAAGCCTAAAGTATATTTTACTCACATTCATTCCTTCTTCAACCAACTGTGAAGCAATCGCCTTCCCAATCCCAGAACTCGCACCAGTTACAATCGCCACCTTTCCGTTAAATCGCTCCATAGTACAACGTCGCACAAGATACTAAATAGAACTTAAACTTATCTTCATCATTTAAAATCTTTGTTCTCAATTACTTTACTGTTAAATCCTAATTAAGTGTAAACAAGTTATTAAGCCAAGGGGTATATGCCCCATGTTTGCCCACCACGACACATGAAATTTGCTATTGTCTTGTTATTCAACTTTATTGAAAATTGTAATTAAAGTAGGATTACTTCGCTTACTAGAATGTTTGTATTGAGATAAAATAACTTTTCAGAAATCTTCAGCTCTCGTTATCTTTAGTGTTCTTGGAAGCTGGCAAAAACTTAAGTTATCTATGAAATGCTACCCATTTAGTAGTTTTTTTTTAGAACACCGCTAATACATTATAACCATAATCCTCTTTTACAAGATTAACGGTATTAAAGGGATAATGAATTAAACGACTAGGACATTTTACAAGAGCCATCTCATTAGATATTGCACTTAGTCATCTCATGAGGCCTTCAAGTAGGTATAAATTGTAGTTCAAAGCCGCAGAAGTGGGTCCATGTGGACGGACAGGCGGGCAGACGGACACGCGGACAGATGGACAGACATAGCTTCTTTCTTACGCAAAAATGCCGAGATACTTAAGTAATATGCAATTTAGGGATAGTCCGACATAGAAAACATAGAAAACGTGAAAAATTGTCTGCCGGAAACCAGCAGTCTATTTTACTAAATGCGGAAAGTAGTGTGCCCGTGAAAAATGTTGTATTAGTTCTACTTTCGGATTTTAGTAACACTTTCTTTTATTTATAATTACAAGCCAGATGGCTTCTTAAAAAGGTTCTTCTCTATTAATGTTGTAACAAGAGCATACTTTTTTTCTCTGAATTATGCGGAAGCAAATTTCTAAGTTTAAAAAGAGTCAAGGTTTCAGGAACATTAAACCAAACGAATATTACTTATGTTAGTTCAAATTTTTATTTTGTCAATTGCAACACGGCGAGCTTTCTTGCTTTTCTCACACGATCGTCAATGAATTAATTGTTCTAAATCGTATCTGGCGGATTTTCGTGTCGAATTACAAGCTGGGAATAGGTCGTATTAAGTTACGTATGCCACGTTGCAAATTAAGCACAACTTGGAACAAGCTGAATTCGCAGATTCAGGATTTCTGCAGAAGCCCTACAAGCCCAGTGAACCAATGAACATTCATAACTATTCCACTATTAGAAAGACATTAAAAAATTAATCAGTATTCAGAGAGGGGATTATTTTTCACGAAATTAATTGCTTAGAAGATTAGTCGTCGACCTGGTTAGTACGAGGTCCCGTTATATTAGCGTTCGAATTTACGGAGCTTAGGAAAAACAGTTTCAAATAAAGTCCAAGCCGACCTCGTTGTCCATATTAGCCAGTTGATTTGTTTAAAAATCGTTACCTGCCGCTGTGGGTAAAGTCCAAGTGTCATCTTTGGAGCGTTATAAAACAAATTCAGTAATACTCAGCCAGGGACCACGAGCCCCACTAGTCCCTCAAAAGTTCCAAAGAAGGAAGAAGCAAATTAATTTAATTTATTACATTCAAAATTAGTATGAAGAAATTTGAAGAAATAAACAAGGAATAATAGTAGATCAAATCAAAATTCAAGATAATAAAGAACAAAATTTAAATAATTAAATTCAATTGATTACAATAGGAGGGTGGACAGGGTCCACGTGTCCCTAGACCCCAAATTCGGACCCTTTGGAGTGAAGTAAGGGAGCTAGAGGAACTGAAAATTTGTAAGCAACGAGAAAAAATGTTATAAGCAAGGTTACTCAGAGCACAAGAAGAACTGTTGAGAGCACAAGAATTTAATGTGAGCCTGAAGAAAACACAGAAAAAGCAAATAGCCACTTTAGAGCGAGAATATTTCAAGAAAGAACAAGAAGCAATTATATTACATGATATGAACAAGAAGTTAGAACAAGTAAGGATTATTAAAGAAGATCAATTGAAATTAAAAGAAGAAAAGAAGACGAATATTCAAGAGGAAGGTATTCCAAGTTATTGACTGTAGAAGAAGTTGACGAAGTTGAAGAAATAGAAAAATTACCGAAGAATAGTGACGAAATGAAACCAAACGACTAAATTAGTCAAAGATATAAAAGAGATGAAGAAGTGAAATTTTATACTACATAATTTTTGAAGCAGAAGATGATCTAGCGACAACGATAAGAAGGATGAAAATTGATAAAGAAATAAAGAGATTTTTCTTAATTTCAAGAAAGAAAGAAATCCCAATTGATGAGATAATCTGGAACATTATCAACTGGCAGTAAGGAAAGAAGATAGTATGAAGTGAAATGAACATAGAAGTGTAAAAGTGAAATGAAGGGTGTAAATAGTTTGTTTTTTAGATATAGTGTTTTTATATATAGTTTCTTTTAATGAAATTAGGTGAAGTTATAACGAGGTCAATTTTAGTGAAGTTAAACGAAGTTAAGTGCAGACAAGTTCAGTGTATGAAGGTTATTGAAGATGTATAATGAAGATAAGAGAAGTGAAATGAAGTGAAGTGCACACAATTTATTTTTCTCTTGATTACGTTTAGAATGTTTAGATGGATCAAGATAGTTTTTTGGGATTATAGAATTTTTTGGGGATCGTCAGTTAGGTTTTTTGACTTTGCCATTTTTAGGATATAGGTTTAGGAGTTTTTCATTAGGTTAGTGGGTACGAATTTCGTGTAGAATTTTTTAGAATTGTTTAGTCAATTTTGAAAATTGCTAGGGAAAGCTCCCGTTTGATTTATTGTTGTTTTTCAAATCTTATCAGGTTTTCATCGTTTAGAAAATGGAAGGGGGTACTGTAATGAGAGCACTTATTTGCCTACAATTTTTTGCGATTTTTCCTTTGAATTATGCAGAGGAAAGTCAAGGTCTCAGGAACATTTAACTAAACAAATAATACTTATGTTAAGTTCAAGTTTTCATTTTGTCGACTGTAATACGGCGAGCTTTCTTCCTGTTCTCAAACGATCTTTAATAAATGATTGTTCCAAATTGTATCTGGCGGGTTTTAAACAGCCGTGAAAGCCCAGTGAATCAATACAAATTCATAACATATCTCCGCGATTACTATTCCACCCTTAAGTAGGTTTTAAAAAATTAATGATAGTATTCAGAGAAGAGATTATTTTGCACGAAATTAATTAATTAGAAGAGTAGTCGCCGAACTGGTCAGCACGGGGTCCCGTTATATTAACGTTCGGATTAACCGAGCTTAGGTAAAACAGTTTCAAATAAAGTCATTTAGTACCTCTGTTCCTTAAAGACATTCAGGGGGTGATTCTTAGACCCATTTTAAGAAAAAAACTTGTTAAAATTTTTCATTTTCGGGATACAGGGATACAGGGTGGTAAAGTTTTTTAAAAAATCGTTCATTTAAAACGATTTTTATTATTTTAAGCGAAAACCATGCGTCGGACAAAGAAAAACCAGAAATCAAATTTGCTCAAAAATGTTGAGGATTTAAAAAATAATTTATTTTAAGAGAATGCAGTAGCGTAGTATATTTTTCTCCAAAAATATTCAATGCAAAAGCCGTTTAGCCGCCACTGGTAGAGAAAATAAAAACTGTTGCACATCAGAAAATGCATCATGATGCATAGAAGACATGTACCAAATTTCATAAAGATGTCTACAATATTATTAAAAAACGGATTTTTTCAACCATTACCACCCAGTATCTCAAAAATTAAAACGTTTAGGACATACGTTCATAAGAAGTTTTTTTCTTAAAATATGTTGTTTATTAACCGGCAGAGCAAAGCGATGTAAGCTTTATAGGGGAGTCGATGGTGTCCGTCTGTTCGTCCGTGAACACGATAACTACCAACCGCTTGGACCGATTCGGTTCAAACTTTGCAAAGTTGTAATTTCATTTGAATCTTTTTCTACTCCTATGTTGTAAACATACCCAAAATGTCACCCTGTACTGCACGTCTAAATCGTTCATTATATCATACGGTTGCATAATGAAAATTAGAACTGTTACTTAATATATTACGTAACAGGTTAAAGGTCAAACGCGAAATGTTAATTTAGTAGGTTGTCAGCCCTGCCTAATGAATGAAGTAACGTCAGATTTTGTTGTTGTAGGTTATGTTTCACATTTTGCAAACTTCTTTGAACAGAATTACTCATAATTTGTTTAAACATTGCCATTTGTATGGGAATGGAGCCTGTATGTAATTTATTAGCCGTGCCCAATTATTTTTCATAATCGCAATGGGCTACTCAAGAATGGTTTGAAGCTGCGTTTAGTTAATTAAGCAAACTCTGTTGCTACTATTTTGTATTTTAGAAAACTACAATAAGTACCTACTCGTAGAATTAATGGATGGTGCTAATTACGACTTGCATGGAACACGGAATAATGCGCTTTAGAATACTGGGTAGTCCGATGCTTCCTTCCCGGGAAAACTCGTTAAAAGACGCAGCGTTTTGAAGGCCTTAGTATTATCGATAGTTAGGTACCTAATACATTGGCAACTACAACAATAGAAATCGTTCAAAACTGTAATGAAAAAGAGCACAAACACCACCTGAGCTAGTTAGGTAGTAATCTTCAACTTCAACACTTGTATCTTGTATCCTATTGGCTATTGCATCTATGGTGCTAAAATGAAACTCACATTGCAGTAAGGAATAGGGATGTCAAAACCCTGCAATACACTTCCAATCTAAGTAAAAAGTATTTATAAAATTCTTGCTCGCTGGCGTGCATTCATGGAATATAAGTGAGGTTACGTTGTATTTTGTATTCCTTTTAAATAGACCATGACATTTGACACTTGACAGTTCTAATTTTTAGTTCGAAGTTCGAATATTTAGAACCAAATCGATCGTAATCTATCAATCTTTTATCAAATATATTCAAGTCGTAGAAAAAGTATAGTACATAATTCGAGTGCTAATGCCTATTACGCACTCGATTTTATTACAACACTCGCTCGCTACGCTCGCTCGTGTCGCAAAATACTCGTGCGAAATAGGCTTCTTAGCACACTTATTATGCAATATACTATTTCAAAATATGTTTTAAGTATGTAATTTCTTTGACAATGAAGAAAGTTGCCATTATTGATGTTGAAGAACTAGTCTAAACGTTTATTGAGCGAAAGTTCAGGATATGATCACTAAAAGAGATGGCGTGACAGTTCTCATTATTGACTACTAACTAGTTATGATAATGATTTCATTATTAACCACTATCATAAATTCCGAGAAAGTCCACTTTGCAATAGAGAAAAAAGGTTAATAATCATCTCATCAGAGGGTAGTTGTGAAAAAATGTGTTTACCAATCCGATCATTAAACTTGAAAACATTTTAATTTTCAACAAATTAAGTAAACAAATTTATTTATAGGTACTTAGTAGCATAGAGTGTTGTAATTGCACACTATTATCTCTAAACATGACTACAATTACCAAACAGACTTCGGACTGCTCCGAAAATAATTTTGCTGTCATACCAATATCGCCATTTCGAAAACACACAAAATGGTTCTTTCCATGGATCGTTGGAGGAATATGGTAGCCGTAATTACAGGTGCCAGTTCTGGTATGGGAGCTGAAATTGCCTTAAAATTGCTTAGTAATGGCGTTATAGTAAGTTATTATTCTTCTATTATTTACTAAGACTTGTACTAAGGTCGCAGGACTAGCTCGTCGCACTGAAAAAATTCGGGAGTTAAGTGACAATAAAAATTTGCACGCCATCCAATGCGACGTTACTAAGGAGGTGGATGTACTGAAAACGTTCAAGTGGATTAGTGACAATTTGGGCCCGATTCATATTTTGGTCAACAACGCCGGCATTGGAAGAATTACGAACCTCATCGATGGTAACACGGAAATGTGGAAAGAAGTTTTTGACACCAACGTCATGGGGTTGTGCATTGCAACCAGGGAGGCTGTGAAGGACATGCGGGCACACAAAGTAGATGGTCACATAGTGCACATCAACAGCATTTGTGGGCACAAGGTGTGTCCTGTGCCAAACACAAACGTGCTCCCCGCGTCGAAATTCGCAGTGACTGCCCTAACCGAAACCTTAAGACAAGAGTTAAACTCCATTGGGAGCAAAATCAAAATTTCGGTAACCATAATTTTGTTGAATCGCGACGTCAAATCATTCTTTTAGAGCGTCAGTCCAGGAATTACCAAAAGTGATGCTGTCAACGCGGCTTATATGGCAAGCGGACAGGAATCCGCTCAGGATTTTAACGAATGGTTGAAGAATACTCCTTTTTTACAACCCTCTGATGTGGCGGACGCAGTTGTGTACGTTTTATCTACACCCCCTCACGTGCAGGTATTGAACCATGACTAATATAAAAAAACTTCTATTGTGATTTTTCAGATTCACGAGCTTATCATTAAACCAGTAGGCGAAATCGTTTAAACAATTATAGTAACAGTAAAGCAAATTTTATTGACCAAATAAATGTACGAAGGAGGAACTCTTTTTTTCTGCTCCTCTTTTAACCATTGCAGCAATAGTAATATACAGAGTGGCCCAACGAGAAGTATACAGAGGGCTTTTAGGGTATTAAATTTAGAAATTTCGAAAAATCCTCGAACACGTCAATTTTGTATTCGAGGGGATACAAATCACAAACCCAAGTCTTCACCCCTCTACGTAGGGTGCTTAACCCCTAAAATTTTAAATGGAATCCTATGGCAAATGGCACATTATTTGAAAGCCAATTTAATCGTGATTACGTTTTGTTTTTTTTTAGAAAAAATCATTTCAAATGCGAATATCTCCGAAACCAATCAATAGAATTTAAAAAGCAAAGCAGATTAGTAATCACGATTAAATTGGCTTTCAAATAATGTGCCATTTGCCATAGGATTCCATTTAAAATTTTAGGGGTGAAGACTTGGGTTCATGATTTGTATTCCAAAAGTTGCCTCCCTCTAATAAAAAATTGACGTGTTGGAGGATTTTTCGAAATTTCTAAATTTAATACCCTAAAAGCCCTCTGTATACTTCTCGTTGGGCCACTCTGTATAATTAAACAGTAGAAACGTCATGTACATCCCAAAACTACTGTTCTTCCAGGCATGAACACCTTCCTAGGCTCCGCAAAGCTGCCATCTGGGTCCCGGGGGAACCTGACGACCTGGTGGCAGTCCTGCGGCGCTTGGAAGTGCAGAATTTCTAAGTCAAGGTGGCAGGATGGTGCCTATTCCACACAGCCGGGAAGGATCAACCTCAAGGGAGGCTGATAGATTTCGGCATTGAGGAAAAAGAACAAGCTGACCTAATCGCCAGGAGGAGAAAGTTCAGCTACGGGTTAGTAACCCTGACGAGCCTGATGAAGTGGGGAGTACGTCAGTACAACCACCACAACAACACCTCAGTTGCTACAGGGGCAACTGCAAGATGCTACGGAATCATCACCGCCTAGGCTCAGTCCTTGCTCCAGCGTTAGCAATTCACTCGGGCCGCTTTCGAACGGGGGGGGGGGGGGAGTTTTCGAATATTGAGACGCTGCTAGAGTCTGATTCTATCAACGCCGCATAAACGATGGGTAGCTATTGTCTACATAATACAAAGTATGAAAGATAATTTCATACAAATAAACCTGCAACACTGTAGGGCGTCTGCTGCTACCTTAGGAGACGCCTCACTTTAAAGCGAGACATTGCCCTCATTCAAGAACCCTGAGTTGTTAAATCAAGGGTTTCTGATCTTGGAGGCACAAAAGGAACCGTTTTCTTTCGTACACGGCAAGAAATACCTACCATGTATTTATGTTCTTAGCCACATTAAAGCTCTTCTGCGGCCGTGATGTCAGGACTATACAGTTAAGCTGTGAAATACAGGGTAAGCTCAAGGAGTAATAGTATCGGTATATCTCCCAGAACATTCTGTCAACCTATCTCCCAGTAATGAGATGCCAGAACTGATAGAACACTAGGTATAAGAAAAACAATAAGTGTGTGACGCGAACGCGAACCCACGTACGTAACTACCCGAAGCTAGACTGTGATTGATCTCAGTCTGGCATCATCCAGGATCTCTGACCACATAAAGAACCAGAAGCGAATATGTCAGATCATAGACTAGTTTCATTTGAAATTAACTGCAAGGGATCCATCTAAAAGGGTTATCGCAACCCCAAGGTAACGGATATTCCCCTTTACTAACATCTCCTTGGAGAAAAACTTAGAGAGCACCCCCTTGGGGGGAGGAGGACGCCTGTCGACTTACAGGACAAAGTAGGTCATCTTACCAACTCAATTGTGGAGTCAACAGGCATGTCTTCTTAGGATTGCCCAGACGCCCTATAACCATCCTGGTGGTGCAGAGCTCTCGAAAAGCAGTGTTGAATCTACAATTAATCAGAAATTAATTTTTATAAGTTTATTTATATGTTTCCCTCCCCGCGCAACAATGTGTTTGAGTGTAAAAACACACTGCACTGCAAGATAGAATCTAAACACGCGCGTTCGCAAACAAAATACTTAAAACAAATTTTCATTTTTTCCTAACCAATAAAACAATAAGTGCAACATTACGATTTACACGTACCAAAGAAGGACCAACGCAAAAGGTAAGGCACTTTGGTGATTTTTTGAAATTGTCTTTTTAAAGCATTAACCTGAGCTTTGCGGTTGGTAAAAATCCTCGAGGATGCTTTTAAACACCAAGTATATAGCAACATACGACCTAAGTGTATTGTCGAGGTTTAACGCCAATTTTTTCGTTACTACGTTGAGTTGCACTTCATATATACATAAAGTATACCTAAGGCTCGATGCACACTTGCGGTCGGTTGGTTCTTAACAACATCAGGTAATAACTCTGTGTCGACGGTGACTTCCATCGTGCGACCAGTGTGTACTCGTTGATTGCCTAGCACAGCTAGAGGCTGCCCGGCGTGTTGTGGAAGCCGCGTGTATGCGGTGGCATAGCAGAAGCTGGCGTCCTCCAAAAACAAGTCCGGTGCACGGTACTTGTAAGCTGCGGTACTGCGCAACTAGAGCCCATGCACTTCTAAACCACCGGCTTTCGCCCGCAACTTGCACGCGGTTTGAAAACACTCAAATGTGCATCGAGCCTAAAACACACTACCCTTATTCGCTCGGACCCTCCCTTAGACTCGCCTCTCTACGCTCACGGTGTCAAACGACGTTTACCAACGGCCAAATGCACACTATACTTTTTTGCACACCAATGCCGAGCGAGCCGAAGGCGAGTTCGGCATAGCTCGGACCCTCCCTTAGACTGGCCTCTCACGTCCACGGTGGTAAGCGACGTTTACCAACGGCCAAACGCACATTACACTTTTTTTGCACACCAATGCCGAGCGAGCCGTATGCGAGTTCGGCATAGCTCGTGCCCTCCCTTATACCCGCGTCTCTACGTCCACGGTGGCAAACGCCGTTTACCAACGGCCAAATGCACATTATACTTTTTTGCACACCAATGCCGAGTGAACCGAAGGCGAGTTTGGCATAGCTCGAACCCACCCTTAGACTGGCCTCTCTACGTCCACGGTCGCAAACGATGGCCAATGGCCAAACACACATTACACTTTTTCAATCATATAATACATCCAACGTAATAAAAAAACGGCGATCTTTACGAAAACGTAGAACTACTTAAAATAGTGATTCACTAACATTATATTCCAGTCATACAGTCCACTGATACGCTCAAGCACAAAACTCAGTTGGGCCAACTGTTCAATAAAGCAAAGGTATTGTCGATTGGGAAACCTATAAGATATAAGAAAGATATTAGAAGGCGCCAGAGAGCGGCTACAGACTAAGCTAATGGAGAGAGATAAAAATTGTCTTTATCCCCAAACCTGGCAAAGGTCCTCTACACCTAAAGCATACCGCCGAATCAGTTTGATGTCTTCCTAAGACACTTGAAAGACTGTGCGATTAAGAGATACGGCGCTGATACCATTTCCGCTGCACCTTAACCAACACGCTTACTCCCTAGGAAGAACTACCGAGTCAGCCCTGCGCACTGCGTCATAGAGCGGATTGAGAGATCCCTATAGGGATTATATATAATAGTCCAAGTTTTCGACATCCAAAGGCACTCGAAAATACGCCATTTTTTCTATTATTTTTGGGTATTGGTTAGTTCTAGTTCTGAAAGACAGATTTTAAAGCAATTATTGTTGTATACTTTTTTAAACTAAACAAAATTTGTGACAATTGAAGCCCTTAAGCGGCTCTGTAAGTCTAAGAGTTTTGGAGATACATCAGCGTTTCAAAAATTCGTAAATTCTTCAGTTTTAATCAAATTTGCCTATTTTCGCATAAAAACCTCATGAACATTTTTATAATTTTGTTCGTTTGGGGGGATTTTATGGTGAGGCGTCTCCATAAATCCTCACGGAAAGAGCTAGAATGTTGATATCCTCTGGATCCCCAGCATCTCCCATGATAAGAAAGTTGTCATCTTCTTCTTCAGCAAGATCCACTACCTGTTGCATGAATTGCGAAATCTGTGAATTTTTTTCTTTTGCCCGACCTTGCTCGACCATTCAAAAGGGATACCGAATATAGAAGGTCTGTGACAGTAGCAGAAAGCTTACTCACAACACTATGGTTTGAATGAATAACGAATCATATATAAACATGGACATTTTTCCACTAAAAGACAAAAATCAATATTTAATTTGCTTTGCAATTTTTAATTTTTAGCACTTCTTCAACAACAAGTTTATTACGACTCACGACTTACAACAATTCATCGTGCATATTTTGTAAGTTTACTTTCTGCGGAGATCGTTAAGGGCTGAAATTGTCAGAAATTTTGTCTAGTTTAAAAAAGTATACGATAATCGGTTCTTCAGGAGTAAAACTTACAAAAACCAGAAAATGGTAATAAAATGACATATTTTCAAGTGCTGTGTCGCTCGTACAGGTCTTTCAATGTCGAAAACTTGGATTTTTCACATCCATATTGATCCTAACAATTTAAAAGAAAAATTAGAGATGACATATCTGATCCACGGAATGCCCATTTTTTGGTCTAATTTGACTGTACTATAAACAGTCCACCACAACGCGAACTTCCTACTGTATTCCAATCAGGGTTGGAAGGACTACCGCTCAGTGTGAGAAAAGTGCTTATGCATGCAAAGAACGAAACTATCAAAGTTTCCAGTGACAGCAGGGTTGTCCTGCAGGTGCTTGGTCGCTGTAAGATTACCTCTAGGTTGGCTTCAGAATATATGCACTATGCAATAGAGCAAGCAGCAAGCAGCAACACCCTTGAATTTGCGTGGGTTGCAAAGGGCATGCTGGAACAGAACCGATGAGTTAGCCCGGCTGGCCTCAAAACAGGTGTTTTATGGTCTGCACAACAATTTTTATATTATCGATTATCGTCAAAATTTAACAAAGAAAGGGGGCGCGGCAACAAATAATATTGTATACATTATTGTTTATGATTTCTGGGGCTGAAGTTCCATCAGTGAAAATT